AGTGCTCCATTAGGCATATATTAAGTCCTTTGAGGTTGAAACACAGCTCACTAATACTCTGTTTATTTTCTTCAGTCATTTTTCTCTATATATTTCATTTTTAATAGATTATATTCCTATGTCTTCAAGTTGATTAATCTTTTCTTTTGCAATGTCTAATTTGCCATTGGTACTGCCCAGTGATTTTTTTTTTTCTTTTCAACTTAGACGTTGTAGTTTAAATCTCTAGCAGTTTGGCCTGGCCGGCATGGCTCAGTGATTGAGCATCAACCTATGAACTAAGTGGTGACAGTTTGATTCCCAGTCAGGGCACATGCCCAGGTTGTGGGCTCCATCCCCAGTAGGGGCCATGCAGGAGGCAGCCGATCAATGATTCTCTCTCATCATTGATGTTTCTATCTCTCTCTTCCTCTCCCTTCTTCTCTGAAATCAATAAAAATATATATTTTTAAAAATCTCTAGCAGTTTGATTTTGGTTCTTTTTTATGTCTTTTTTGTTTCTATTTAATATGTTAAATATTTCTCTAGCTTCTTAAGCATATGGAATCCAATTATAATAGTTGTTTTTGTGTCCTTATCTATTATTATGTTATCTATATCACTTTTGGGGTCTGTTTTGATTAATTTTTTATATTATTATTTTCCTGCTTCTTTGCATATTGGGTAATTTATTGGATTTCAGACAGTGTGAAATTTCACTTCTACTGGGTGCCAGGTAATTTTTATTCCTATAAATATTCTTGAGCTTAGTTCTGGGATGCAGCATGGTTTAGTCCAGGGCTAGTTTTTTATTATCTTTTGTTGTTGTTGTTTCATTTTTGTTTTTCACTAATTAAGGCAAAACCCTACTGATTACTCTGTGAATTATTAGTTTTCTGCTCTGGCTGGTGGAAAAGTGTTATTCCCAGCCCTATGTGAAGTCCAAGAATTGCTACCTCTAATGCTCAGGTAGTTTACACACATACACACATACACACACACACACACACACACACACACACACACACACACACGTAGACATTAATAATCAGTTAAATAATAGTGGAGGACTCTCTTCAGATCTTTAAAGTTCTTTCTCTGTGTAGCTTTTTCCCCCAGTATTCTTCCATACAAACTCTATCTACCATAGTCTCCCTGGACTCTCAGTTCAGTCTCCTCACTCAGGGAGATCACTGTGTTTTACTTGTGCTCCCCTCTCTGTGCTGAGGCCTGTAAACTCTCTTTAGGCAATAAGCTGGGAAAATCATAGGGATCATTTCATTTGGTTCTTGTCTCTCAATGATCTCTGTCTTCATTGCCCAATATCCAGTGTCTTAAAAACCATTGTTTTGTATGTTTTGCCCATATTTTTAATTGTTTAAGTCAGGAGTTACTCTGCAAGTTTGTGCTGAGAATGAAGTGAGACACATGTGTATGGAAGCAGCTAGCTTGGTTTCAGAAACTTTAAAAGTTAGTAAAAACTTAATTTTTTTTCATTTTTTTTGTTAATTGACTTAGCTTTGGGAGTGCAGCTGGCACAAAAAGTGGAGGTATGGACTTGAATCCTGGTTTTTCTGAATCGTAGTCCTATACCACTATATTACAAGCACACTACCATTTCTTTTAAGGATCCCAAAATATGTGTCGCCTGGATCATATACCTCTTTACCATATCTATTTTCCACTCCCCCCCCCAAAAAAAAAAATTGGTTCAGAGTCACCAAATACATCTAGGAAACATTTTTCAGGCTTGAAATGTCAAGCTGATGCACTTAAAATTTGTTGAGGACAGATCTCATGTTAAGTGCTCTTACCACAATAAAAATTTTATTTTATTCTTAAAAAAGTAAATTTTATTAAAATTCTGTGTGGTGGTATAACTGACACTCTTAAAGTTATTCAAAGACACCATACTTTGAGGGCACCTTTTTCATTCTTCCCAGCCCATAGTGCTATATAAGACTCATTTTTAAAATTGAATAAATTTTATATGTAACATTGTGTAAGTTTAAGGTGTACTAGTACAATATGTTACTTTGATATATTTTTATATTTTAATGTGATTGCTGACATAGCAGTATTTGTCACATTATATATTTATAGTACAATTTATTGTCTATATTTTTGAGACTCAAGTGTTTACCAGGGGTTCTCAAACTTTTTAAACAGGGGGCCAGTTCACTGTCCCTCAGACTGTTGGAGGGCCGGACTATAGTTAAAAAAAAAAAAAAAACTACAAACAAATTCCTATGCACACTGCACATATCTTATTTTGAAGTAAAAAAACAAAATGGGAACAAATACAATATTTGTATTTGTATGTGGCCCGCGGGCCGTAGTTTGAGGACCCCTGGTTTAAACCTATATTTGTAGTTTCTAAAATGTTGATCCACAGACGACTTTCTTGTTATACATATGTACCAATGGAAAAAAAATGCAAAGAGAATCACTGCCATCTCTATAAAAGGAATGGCTCCTTTTCTAACATTCTTTAAAAATATACATTGTACAGTCTTTGCATCTCACCAGAGGTGGCAAGGTAATAAATATACCAGCTTAGTTTAGCAAGGTCGACCTAGTACCTATTATAAGCCCTCTCCTTTTTGGATTTCTCCAGAGCTTTGTCAGTGGTTTTCTTGTTCTCCCCTCGACACTTGCCCTTTGGTTTATGATTCAGTCCTACACAGAAGTGGGACCACTCGATGGGGCATCCATCCTCATTATCACAGCCAATCATTTCTCTTTTTTTATTGATTAAGTTATTACATATGTGTCCTTATCCCCACATTACTCCCGATTTGCACTGTTGCACTGTTGCTGAGACCTCTTGTTATTGGGCTTTTCTGCCTGAGTGATTGTCTCATTCTTGGACTTAACATGGCTGGCTTTGCCATTTTGGCCAGTGGTATCATTGACCTCTTTGTGCATCTCAAAGAATTCCATGTGATTTTCCACCTGCCTGGTCCGGTTCTCCACCAGCTCCACCATCTGACTCACAATCTGGATCTTCTGGTTGCCCAGCTCCTGATTCCAGATCAGGGCTTTTTGAATGCAGTATAGCACTCTCCTCTTCTGTTTAAACTTCTCATAGTACTCATCTAGTTCCTTCAGGATTTGCTTCCCCCATTGCTTATGGCTGGCCTGTCGTGCAGGTCCCTAGGGCCAGGGTGGGAGGCATGAGCTGCATCCTCATTAGAGCCAGCGGCACAGCTAACAAGCCTCGCTCCAGGCCCCAGGCACCCTATTAATTGTTTATGTTCATTATACTGTGCATTAGATCTCTATGGCTTGTTTACTACTTGTTACAAATTTGTACCCTGAAATATCATCACCCTTATACCTCCTTGTCTGTATTTTTGAGACTCACTTGCATGTTTAATTTAAACCTATCCCCTGTTAACCGTCATTTTACTCTCTTTTTTTACAGATTTAACTTGTTTAGATTCTACTAGTACATATACTAGTACATAACATTATAGTATGTACTTGTCTTTCTCTGTTTGACTTATCTCACTTAGCACAATGTGCTCAGGGTCCATCCATGTTGTTGTAAATGGGAGTATATCTTCTCTTCTCATGGCTTGAAAATATTCTATTATGTAAAACTACCACATCTTTTTTTATCTGTTCATCCACTGGTGGGCATTTGGGTTGTTTCCATATAATAATGTTGTGATAAACATGGGAGTGCATGTTTCTCATCAAAATCCTGTTGGGAATATACCCAGAAGTGGAATTGCTGGATAGTATGATAGATCTATTTTTAATTTTTGGAGAAACCTCCATATTGTTTTCCATGGTGGTTGTACAAATTTACATCCATACCAACAATGTATAAGGGCTCCCTTTTTGCCACACCCTTGCCAGCACCTGTTGTCACTTGTCTTGTTGATTATAGAAATTCTGACAGGTGTGAGGTGGCAACTCATTGTGGTTCTGATTTGCATTTCCCTCATGATTCGGGACTTCAAGCATCTTTTCATGTTTATGTTGGTCATTTGATGTCCTCTTTGGGAAATTGCCCATTTAGTTCTATTTTCTAATTGGATATTTTCTTGTTATTGAGTTGATTGAGTTCTTTATATATTTTTGATATTAACCCCTTATTAGATGTATGGTTAGCAAAATTTTTCTCCCCTTCTGTAAGTAGTCTTTTTTTTATTGTTTCTTCTGAGTGTAATGTATTTGTTGATTTTTTGTTATTGTTATTTGTGCTTTTGGCATCATAAGACTCATTTTATTATTATTATTATTAATAATCTTTAATTTCTTTATTGATTAAGGTATTACATATGTGACTTCATCCCCCCATAAAGCCCCCCCCCATCATGCTCTCATCCCCCTGTTCTCTGTGTCCATTGGTTATGCATGCATACAAGTCCTTTGGTTGATCTCTCCCCCTTACCCCCACCCTCCCCTACCTTCCCTCTGAGGTTTGACAGTCTGATTGATGCTTTTCTGTCTCTGGATCTGATAAGACTCATTCTTTTTTAAAAAATATATTTTATTGATATTTTACAGAGAGGAAGGGAGAGAGAGGGATAGAGAGTTAGAAACATCGATGAGAGAGAAACATCGATTCAGCTGCCTCATGCACACTCCCCACTGAGGATGTACCCACAACCAAGGTACATGCCCTTGACCGGAATCGAACCCGGGACCCTTCAGTCTGCAGTTCGACGCTCTATCCACTGAGCCAAACCAGTTAGGGCAAGACTCATTCTTGATACCATTACCCACAGAGCCTCTCTCTGCCAGAGGTAAGATTGCAGATGGAGGAATGAATATCCTACAAACAAGACTGACTTAACCCACAGAATAGTAAACTGTTATCAGAGATGAGACTATAATTCAAGTCTTTTGATAGTTCACCTTGCTAATAGAGGGGAGAGAATTTGGGGTCATGCAGTCACTTGAAACTGTTGCAACCGCATCTGAAGCATTAAACTTGGAAAGGTACCTACAGTTCCTCACTCACTGGGCTGCTCTTGTATTCCTCTGCCTTCCTCTTCCGCACTTAGGTTACCGCATTCGCCTGGGCTCTAGCACTGACAAGAAGGACACAGGCCGCCTCCACGTTGATTTTGCACAAGCTCGAGATGACCTGTATGAGTGGGAATGCAAACAGCGTATGCTAGCAAGGGAGGAGCGCCACCGTAGAAGGATGGAAGAAGAACGATTGCGCCCACCATCCCCACCCCCAGTGGTCCACTATTCAGATCATGAATGCAGCATTGTTGCTGAAAAACTTAAAGGTATAGAAAACATTTAAGCTTTGTGAGTAAAATAACTCCTCTGGGGAAATTTAATAAAAATATTTGTAGTTTTTGCAGTTATCCTTTGAATTTTCCACTAATAAATTCTTGACATTTCTTGTATTTTAACCTTACAGATAGAGAGGTGTACATAGTAATTCAAGAACCAGAAAATCTGTCCATCCTACCTGTGTCCCGCTTTTCTCTCAACACAGCAGGTTTCTAGAAAGAAACAAGTTCCCCGCCCCGCCTCCCTCCACATCAGAGAATTTTAGCAGTAATCCATGACTTGGGATATAAGCACCCTCCCTTTCATCATTGATAACAAGTTAGTTTGAGTTTTAAATCAGAATAAATTAGAATGATGGAACTTGATGTGACCCTGGAAAACTCTGATAAAAATTCCCATTTTACAGATAAGAAAATGGAGGTCCCAAGAGTAGTCATAGTGTACATTTTCTTTACATTACTCAAAGACTTAGCTACCAACAAAAGAGGACTTGTTTAAGCCCTTAAAATGCTCAACTTATTTCACACAGTGTCCGTGAGATTTCTAGACATTGCTAAATGAGACTGCTTTTCTTTTAGTTTTGATTCCTGTTTCTCTTGCTTGACCCTCTGAAGCATTTTGCTTACTTAACGTTAATTGCCTTGCCTACTCTCCTGTGTTAGTAGCTTAAATTCAGTCTTTTCATTCTTGTGTGGTTGATTTTATCAGGTAAATGCTGGTGTCCCATTGATCTTATTGATGACACCAAACCAGGTTTAAAGGTATGAATTTCCCCTGCTTCCGGTGCTCTAGGCTCAGCAAGGTGCTGCTAATTCTGATTTCAATAGGTCTCATTTACCAAACTTGTTTGCACCAGATAACCTAAGGCCACAATTTCAACTGGTGTGCCACAGAAGGCATGCTGGTGTGCTGCAAGTATACCTATTTACTCAGAGGCACTAACGTCTTTTCACTTAGATTGTCAAATGAAAAAATGACAACAACCAACATAACACCAGCTATCCAGGGTGAATGAATCAAAACTATACCTTTGTTTTGCCAGATTGGCAAAAAATATATTTTTGGTATGCTGCAGAATTTTAGTAATTAGTTTATGTGTGTGATGAGATGAAAAAGGTTGAAAATTGCTGGCCTAAGGGATTCATACATTTAAGAAACCCTTTGTTTGCATTGATTTTGTCTTCCTGTAAAAGAAAAGCAGAAAACATAGTATAGGATAGAGACACAGAAATAATGCGACTTTTTTAAAAAACTGGAAAAGCTGAAATCATTGGTAAAATGCCAGTTCAAGAATGACCTGTTCACATAACACCAAATGGGTCAATTTGACTTTTTTTAATGAATTTGCTCGTCATGTGGACTTCAAGCATAAGGTAAGCATTAACATAAAGATTATATGCAAGTAGCGAAATGAAAAGCTGCTATAAAGGGCAGGCTGGCCTCTCATTATATGTCTACACTGAAAAAAGTCAAGAAGCAAGGGATTCAAATTGCAGTGAGAGATATTTCTACTGTACATAAGAGTTTCTGGCCAAAGAGGAATATGGAGCCCTAGAACGGTCTTTCAATGGGATGCTAATGGACTCTCCCTCTCAGGACTTTTTAACAGCACAATGTGTAAGTGGCTATCTGGGGAAGCTGTACCAGAAGCTTTGGAAGAGCTCTGCTACTATTTTAACGTTAGAGAATAACTCCTAACTAGCTGCAGAAATATACTTGGAGGTTTCCTCAGGCAAGTGAAACAGGAGGTGAAGAAATGTAGAAACAGAATGAATTACATCAAAATAGATTGTGACTTGGACTGAGTGGAAGGCCTGTGGTTGTGGAATGAATGCAAGAGTGATGTTATAAAAGGTCAAAGATGTGTTTATTCCTGAAGGATTACCCATTTAACTCCTTCCTAAGGCTCCTTCAGATACTATAACTCCAGATCAAGGAAAAAGTAACTATCAAATTCAAGTTAGACTCAAATTTACTTTTCCTTACTAAAAAAATAGGATTGTAGAATTCTGAAATTCTCTCACTGCTAATTCATACATTACACATATGCATGCATACACACCATCAGAGAGATTAAGAAATTTGCAATATGTGAAAACTACATCAGTAAAGAAAACTTTTTAAAGGAAAGAATATACTGAACTAACAAGCAAAATAGAGACAGACTCATAGAGAACAGGGTGACAGCTGGGGGGGGCGAGAATTGAAAAAAAAGAAGAAAGAGAGAGAAAGAACCCACAGTATGGGCATCAGTGTGGTGATTGAAAGAGTAGGTGGAGGTGGAAGATGGTATAGGGGGATAAATGGTGATGGAAAAAAATTCAAAAAAGAGAATAAACAATTGCCTTTCTGAAAATTCTTCATTGACTACAACCAATCTACTTTATGAGTCTTTGGTTCTTTCAGTCTGTCTGCCTGCCTGCTACCTGTATGTACATGTATATGCATGTATGGCTCCTCATCCTCAGCAATACATATAAGAACCACTTCCAAAAGACATGGTGGTCTCATGGCTGGCATGTTTGGAAAATAGATCAAGATATGGTTAGTTTTGATGATTCTAAAAGTAAATCCTTTTTTTTTTTCAAGATGAATCCAAATTCTCAGAAGCCGTGCAGACCTTGCTCACTTGGATTGAGCGAGGAGAGGTGAACCGTCGCAGTGCCAACAACTTTTACTCCATGATTCAGTCAGCCAACAGCCACATCCGTCGCCTGGTGAATGAGAAAGTTGCCCATGAGAAAGACATGGAAGAAGCAAAGGAGAAGTTCAAGCAGGCCCTTTCTGGAATTCTCATTCAGTGTGAGTGGAAATCAGAGTTGTGCTGAAAAGATGAGAGGGCACTTCACTTAGTCACCATTTTTTCTGCACAGGAGCCAAGCCTACAAAGCCATTCTGTGTCAAGGGGCAAGGCTTCCTTCATTGTCATATGCTCTCCTTATATTTCCAAGTGACCAAGCTCCAATTTCACATAGGAAATACACATAGGAAGTCCCCACATGTATTTTCTCTGGCATATCTACTTCAGCTCCTTAGAAACAAACACTGACACTTAAACCACAACCTGTGCCTCTACTTTGGCTTATTCTCAGGTTATAAGAGCCTCAGGCCTCAGTGAATTTTCAGGATTTCCTTGCTGAAGTCAAAATTCAGCATTTGTAAGATTTGCATCATTCTTATCATATAATATGCTTTTTAGGTAACTTCTTTTAATAATCAATGTAACCATGTTTGGCAAGGTGATTGAATAAAAGCCAAATTTGCTATTTCAATCTTTTATTTTTAGTTTCCCTTCTTGTACATTTTTTTTTTTACTGGATGTCATAGACACTGGGACATTTTTGGGAAGCCACTGAAATGGCCATTTTTCAAAAAGAAGTGCTACTCTAAACCTACTCAAAATCTCTTAAATGAAACAGATCAGATAAATTCTCAAGTAAGGTTTTACTTCACTATACTGCACTCATATCTTTTGAGTAAGGAGCTATATTCACCTTAAGAATAAGAGTGCAGATTTATGATTTTGCCTTTAAGCAGTTATGGCCCACTCTTCTGATACTTGACTTCCCATACTTGACTCATGTGTAATTGGAATTAAGGAAGAGTTGTATCACTTTCCATTTTTATTTTGAAAATGTATATGTGCATAGAATTCAGAAGGAGAAAGCACATTTTTGTATGACTAAAGAATATAGAAAAAGAGAAGAGCAAGTATCATGGCAATATAAATTCTTAAATTGTTAGTACACAGAGTGCAAACTGTGCTATAAAGAAAGAAATAGAACCTCTATATTTTCTTACCGTGAACACTCAGCCAGACAGAGGCTTTTGTCCTTGTCTTTTCCCAAAAATGTCATGTCTATGTTTCCCTTCTCTTAAACTGGTTAGGATAAAGTCCCAGAATATTTGCATATGTTTCCCCTTTTGACATTTTAAGAGACCCTGAAAAAAATACTATCTAAGCCTGTACGTACATGGTATTCTTTCATAAAACCTATATTTCTCTAGGCTTAAAATGCATTCCATCCATCTTAAGTTTTGATATGATGCTTCTGGTTCAACATACCTCAGAATAGTAAAAGGATGGAGTATGTTGAAGTGAAGCATCCAGGTTCATTTTAAAGGGCTGGTTTATGAAAGAAGCAGGTGGTCAAAAGGAGCTATAACAGTTTACTGCTTGCCACCATGCTGTGCAGAGTCAATAGCACTAAATCACATTCACCTAGGACTTTTGCCTCTCCTGCCTGAATAGATATAGACTGCATGTATTTAAAACTTAGTGCCCATTTTACCTCAAGCCCTCTGGAATTCCCTTTTCTCTTTCTGAATATTGATATCTCTGTCTTTGACTCCCCTTTAAAATCATGGTACCCCAACACATCATACCATAGCTTAATAGTGTCATACAAGAAGATACAACACGCCTGATGCTTCTCTTATTTCTTTTGTCCCCTCTTTTGCCATCTTGGATGATACTCTGGCCTAATTCAACTGCTGATCTGACGCTGCAGTTGAGCAGATAGTTGCTGTGTACCATTCTGCCTCCAAACAAAAGGCATGGGACCACTTCACAAAAGCCCAGCGTAAAAACATCAGCGTCTGGTGCAAACAAGCTGAGGTTGGTAACTCTTTACTCTAATAGCCCCAGAGGGGGACAGTTTCTTCCTTTAACAAGTTATTGATTTGGAGTTTAGCCAGAATTAAATAGTGCCAAGCTCCCATGGTCACAACAAGGCACTAATGAAACATTAAGACATGTTATATCACCTGCCACTGTGGCCAGACCACCTGCCGCCAAAAGGGTAATAAATGTGCACATTCTGCTAGATGGATCCTTAGTAGTGAGAATGTAGCTATGATAATTATAAGTTTACTTCTCTGTGCTAGTTGGTCTTGGATACAACAATAATTACTGACCTGTGAATTCAGTGTTAGTATTATTAGGGCTGTCTTACATTTATTAGAGCGTCTTGACACTTGGGCTGAAAGCTCCCTGGTGTTGTTACATTGAAGCACTGAAATTTCTGAGCTTCTTTTATGAAACCTGCTCAGCCATCTCTTATAGGTCTCAGCTTTAAAGATAACAGAGGACTCTGATTTCAGATTAAGGTTGACACATACCTGTCTGCTTGTGCTGAAGTGACATTTTTTAGTGTAACATTAGAGTATGTCTGATGTGATTGGGTTGTTATTCTCAATCCAAGATTAAAAACAAAGATGGGAGGTTTGTTTTCACTGATATGTCTTTGGAATGATGTTACATATATGTCAAGTTTTTCTGTTCCTATGGGCAGCTTCATTACCCAGCACTGACATGTTCAATCTATGTATGCAGCAACTTTTTCAACTTTGTTTCTGAGCCCTTCCTGCCAGTCTGGTAATAGTCCCATTATATATGTAGGGCAGATTATCATATTCCTCCACATTTAAATAGCATTTGTAAGGCATTTGCATTTTATAAAGCATTTTACATTGGTTATCTCACCTACCTCCCAGTAGATGTGGTGTAGCTGGAAAGAACACTGCACTTGGGTGCAAACATGAATCCAAATCTCAACTCTGACATGTTATAGCTGTGTCACTTTGAGCAAGTCAGCCTTTCTCAGTAACTATTTCTTCACCTGTAAATTGGAGTTAATAGTGAAACCAGTCTTATGGGATTAAATGGAGTAAGAGATGTGTAGACAGCTTAGAAAATGTAAATGCTATATAAATGATAAATAGTATTATTTCAATTTATCATTAACAACTCCACAAGGGCTAATAGGTATAGTATTAATGTTTTCCATGTGAGGAAACTGAGACAGAGTGTTAAGTGATGCACACAAAATTACACAGCTAGTAAGTGGTAATTCAGGACTAGAAATTCTTACTCTGATATAAACTGCCTTGTAAGTCTTGAGCAAGTCATTTCATTTAATCTTTGTGGGCCTCAGTTTTCTAACCTATAAAATGAAGATAATAATCTATTCATTCTGTCTTCGTGAGAATACATGACATAGTTTGTGTGATAATAATATGAAAACTGCGAAGAGCATTTAGAAGAAAATAAGCAAAACCCTGTTCATATACTATCTCTGAGCCATCAATTCTGGCTCAGCAAAGGGATCTGGGAGTCACTAGGGCAGTGGTTTTCAACCTTCCTAATGCCGCAACCCTTTAATACAGTTCCTCATGTTGTGGTAACCCCCAACCATAAAATTATTTTCGTTGCTACTTCATAACTGTAATTTTGCTACTGTTATGAATCGTAATGTAAATATCTGATATGCAGGATGTATTTTCATTGTTACAAATTGAACATAATTAAAGCATAGTGATTAATCACAAAAACAATATGTAATTATATATGTTTTCCGATGGTCTTAGGCAACCCCTGTGAAAGGGTCGTTTGACCCCCAAGGGGTCGCGACCCACAGATTGAGAACCACTGCACTAGGGAGACATTCCTGAAGACATCAGCCCAATAGATGGGTAGAGTCATAAAAAGCCAGTAATGTTTTAAATTGTTTTTAAAAGGGAATTAGGAATTTAAAAAAAGGAGCTATTGTCTTACTGTAGCACAAAATGATTTTAGAATCCTAGAGTGTAACTCATGTTGTTGAGCTTCAACAAACAAAATTCAACATTTCAATTCAAATGTTTACTGAGCAATTCTCTGTCTCAAGCATTATGACAGGCAATGTAAAATGAGATGGTATTTGCTTTCAGGGAACTAGAAGGGTAGCAAAAGGGATCAAGGGGAGGAGTGGAGTTTAGTACCCTAAAATAAAAATATCCAAACTTTTTAAGTGTAGTTTGAATAGTTCAGAAGAATAAAGACTGAAAGGAAAATGCTCAATGTCCTACAATTGTAGAAAAATAGTATTAAGTCTCCACCTTTTAGGGGGTGAAAGAAGCTGTCTGAACTGCCCCACCCATTACCAGAAGCCCTGCCAGTATAATACAGAGAGTGCCAGCTTACAGTGGTTCAACTTAAGATTTTTTTACTTTACTATGATATGTGATACGATATTCTCTTATGATGTTGGCCAGCAGTAGCCAGCCACAGCTCCCAGTAAGCCATATGATCACAGGGATAAACAGCCAATACTCTACAGTGTATTGTGTTGCCAGAGGTTTTTTTGAATATTGTGTTTGAAGGACATTTAAGGTGGGCTGGGCTAAGCTATGATGTTTAGTAGGTTAGGTGTATTAAATGCACTTTTTTACATACAAAATTTTCAATTTAAGATGAGTTTATCAGGTTCTAACCCAGGGGTGGGCAAATTTTTTGACTCGAGGGCCACAATGGGTTCTTAAACTGGACCGGAGGGCCGGAACAAAAGCATGGATGGAGTGTTTGTGTGAACTAATATAAATTCAAAGTAAACATCATTACATAAAAGGGTACGGTCTTTTTTTTTTAGTTTTATTCATTTCAAGGCCCGCGGGCCGTAGTTTGCCCACGGCTGTTCTAACCCATCATAAGTGGAGGAGCATCTGTATTGCTTTATTGGAAGAAGGCAGCCTCTGGCTGGAGCACCAACTTACCTAGGATACAACTGTTTGGTAAACAACTTTGCAATAAAATAGTCTCCATTAATATTATTCATCAAGGCTCTCTGCAGTTAGATCATACTTACCTATCTGGTAGATACATATTTCATTTTAATTACCTTCTCAGTAAAGACAGCTATGCCAGTGAGCTGAATATTTCTCTGGGTCTGTATAAAACTTAGAGCTATATACTCTATTACCTAATATTGTAGCAGAGCTTCCTTGGCACAGTAATGAGGGCAAACTATATGACTAGCAGGACTTACCAAGAGCTGCATGTTTCACAATGTGCCTTGTAGAATTTATAGAAGCCCAGAAAAATGCTCCTGTCTATTGGATTGGACTAAATTAAGGGTCTACCTAGAATACCTCAATCTTGATAAGTAAAACAACTGAAAGTGGAACATAGCTCATCATTTTCCTATGGTATTGTATTCCCTAAACCTAAAAGATCTCTTCTATATTGTATTGGTCCCTCATTATTTTAAGACTTTTAATTGATTTTTAAAGAGAGAGGAAGAGAGAATCATCGATGTGAGAGTGAAACATCATTAGACTGCTTCCCATACATACCCTACCAGGGATCCAGCCCAAAATCTGGACATGTGCTCTGACCAGGAATCAAACTGGCAACTTTTTACTGCATAGGACGTCACCCAACCAACTGAGCCACACTGGCCAGGGCTTTGGTGCCTTTTTAAGTCATAGCTTCTTTAACCTCTGCATACTTTCACTTGATAACAGGCAACCCTGCGGACTAAAAGGAGATATCCTATAGAAAGTGAAAAAAGTGTTCTCTTAAATTGAGGCTGCTGGAGGCTAGGAACAGTAGTTAGCATAATAAATGCGAGAAGTTTGTCAGAAGGCTGATGGACATCTTCAGCAGGGCTGAAGATCTACATATTATTACCTGTTGCCGAACCGCTGAGGGCAATTCCCCTAACTTGATAATCCTTTATTGTTTACCAAACCTTACCTTTGATGTGTATATCTGCTTTGATAAAGGGCAAAATGTGTTAATAAAAAGCCTTGGGTCCGGAGATTGGGGAGCTTAGTCACTAGAGCTAAGTTTCTGTCTGGCTCCCCCAATGTCTTCCAAATTCATATTTCTTGTCTAGTCTCTATTCATTTATGTGCAGCCCTTCTCCAGATTCCTGAACCCTTGCTGTGAAAAGACTGTGGCAGAAGCTGCCACATAGCACCCCACTGAGAATCAGAACATCTCAGTGACTTCAACTAGACTTGCTTTTTTTTTTTTTCGTAGGCATTGAAGCTACAACTCCTAAATCAGGGGTTTCTTCAAATTGGAAGTTTCTGATATTGAGCATTTTTTACCAATTGCCTCTGGGAATATGCCAGCTGGTGACCTCCTGGTGTCACAAAGTACCTATTCCTTGTCTAATTGTCATCCTCCTACTAGCGGCCAGCACTGACTTACTCTGGTTAAAGATAGGTTATGGAGTAAGAATAAAATGTCACTGAAGACAAAGTGTTTAGGTACTCACTTTGTTAGCATATGTCAGGCAGACTAGTTTGCTAATGAATCTTTTTCATTGATTTATTTTCCTGATTTACATGTGTGTGAGGCTGCTGCTGATAAAACTGGAAAGGCTAATAAAAGACGTCTAAAGTCATTCCCCTTTCTAAAAGTTAGTGTCTGTAATGACTTTACTGACAGTTCTGTGTTGGGAACAATTTTTCTACAAGAACATTTAAAACCTGCATGTTTCTCTTCCTGAGAAGCTGGCCTAGATTAGACGTTAAACCTTTGATAACATATGGAAACTAGAGCAATGGCAGTAGGCACTAAAAGATACCTCTTGCATGCTCCCTAATATGTGATTTATACCATTGAGCCAGAGGAAAAGGGACTTGGTGATTACTAGCATTCTTGTAAAATAAAATTCTGTGATTGCTAACTTAACTTTCTCTCTAGATTTCCAGGCTTACCATTTCAAACTCTGAAGACCTGTTTACAGATAGATGTTCAAGTCATCTGCATACCCTTGTTTTAGGGCCCATTTGCATTAACACTAACTATTGACTTTCAGCCATCAAAACACATAAAACAAAATTTGG